TTCCCTTAGTGTTTTGAATAAACACAAACACAGGACAAGCCGGAGCGCACTGTTGCTGCCTACTGTGCTGAGATTTGTGCACCAGATTCAATAATTGAAAGCAATTGAGATTTGTTGGAAAAGAAAACCTTGGAAGGAGTGTTGCTATATTGGTTCCCAAAGCATGTGGGTACCTGCTGTCACTGTATTATGGATGAAACCTCCCTCCTTTTTTTTTTTTTTTTTTCTTTTTGAGGCATAGTGATTAAGAGTTAGAAATCTGGAGTTTGATCTGGGGAAGGAGTAATGGCTGAGTGAGGGTCTCAGGATTTGATCATGCATTTTGAGAAGAAGGAGAAAAAAAACAACTAGTCTGAGTGTGTGCTGCTGTAGCAGGTCCTCTGGGTGCTGCATGGGGGGAGGCTCAGGCATGGCTGGGGCAGATAATTTCAGTGGAGCATCCCAGTGTGGCAGTCACGGCAGGTGCAAGTGGGACAGCACTGGCAAGAGGAATGTTTTTTTCTAGGCAGCTCTGCAAGGTGCAGATTTGCTCTCCAAGATCTGTTCAACCTTTGGCCTCTCCTTTAATGCCCTTAAGCAAACACTAAAATGAGAGGGTTCCTAGGAAGAACCCCAGAGAAATGGAAGAAGATCACCTGCCAATCTGGAAATCCCAGCCCTCACAACCTGGCCATGTGCAGAACTGGTGACCTAGAGCTAAAGAGCTAACCCACCTAGTCCTTGCCCATCTTGCAGCTCTAAGTGAAACAAAACTGTGCATGTTGATTTATTGCCCAGATCCTCTTCTGGGAGCATGTGCCAAGTTTTTCTGTCTGGTTAGAGGTAGGCTGAAGAATTGCTGGCCTGATTATCTCCCAGGGAGCAAGGTGGGATACCTGCACAGGTTAAAAGAGTGGCCCAAAGCAGCTTCATCTTGTGCCCTTGCAATTGCTGGCTTGCAGGAACAAGGAGGGGGCTCAGACTGGACGTGGGCTGTCGATCAGCTTGAATCAGGCTCCATCAGTGGTCGAGGAGGAGGGTTTGTGCCTATTATTGCTGCGACTCTGTGAGTGGGAATTGGGCAGAGGGTGGGTGCTGCACCACTCTCCACTGTGGCTGCCCACCCCCTCCAGGCAGGTTTTGAACAGAGGGATGCACAGCGCGGTGAGCAGCTGCTCTCTCCTTTGCTACTTGAACTGCGGGACTTTTTGTAAGAGTCCTGTGGTTTGAACAAAATGGACAGAGGACTTTTAAAAGTAAGTGTAAGCAAACAGATGAATGAAACTTCATTTTGAAGTGAGAAATTGTGTTGTTTTGCCTCCTAAAGGCTGAAATGAGGCAATTCAGTGTTGGGGAAAAAAAAAAAAAAAGAATTTCCAGAAAGATTCTTAAATTTCTGGGTGGATTTGCAAATAGTTTGGGTAAACACAAACGTCAGCCTTTTCTGGCAAAGACACTATCCAACTGAAAACATTGCCTGGCCTGAGCTGTAGTTTGCTGCCTGTTTCAGCCACCAGAGAGGGTACCTGGCCTTCCTAGCTGGTAGGAGCACCGCAGCATCTCTGTTGTGGCCCTTTTTGGACACCCTGCCATGGTGCATTTACAGCTATACTTTCTTTGAATCTTGAGGCATTGCTAAATGCTCCCTGGCTTAAATTAGCAAAAAATTGGAGTTTTGACTTCTGCTACCTGGCATTCAGCTGGTGAAATCCAGTCTGTGGGGCACCGAATGCCCCAGAGATGAGGGGAATTAAGACTTCAGGATGATGAAAGAGCTCCTAGTGTCACCCCACAGAGAATAAAGATCCAGCAAATAGAGTGCAGGTGTAGGGGCATGGTCTGAGGTGTGAAAGAACACGGTCACATGTACACACACCCCCTTTCACACTGATTTCAAATTTTGTTTGTGCAAAAATCGACTCTTGGATCTTTGACTGATGATAGGTTTCTGCAAGGAGGAATAAATAGGATGCAATAATTATTTTATAGCTATCATTAACTAAGCAATTAATCTGTCTTGGAGGAGGCAGTTCCTTCTTTGGACCTCACTGACTGCTCTGGCTCCCCCATTCAATATTCAGCAGGCTCTCGTGGTTGAGTTGCTGTTTGGTTTCAGGAAGAGGACAGCTGTGTAATGTTTGGTGTTTGAGTGTGGCTGATGCCCCGTAAAGTTAGTTGGGGATGCAGAGCTGGGGCACACGCTGCTTGTGAACTGCTCAGAGCCTTGCTTTCACCTGTAGACTTGGGATAATATTCCCTTATTTTTGCCTGTGCTGAGTGGTGATGGATGTGAGTGTTTGAAGGAGCAAAAAACTGCCAGCCTGGAGTGGAAGTTGAAAGGCTTGAATGAAACGTCTCATCATTCAAAGATGACCCAGTATTGACAGAAGTGTCACCGGCAACCATTCCCTGTTCCCTGACTTGTGGATGTCGTCTTTTCTTTTGGCTTTGTTGTGCTGATTTGACAAACACTCTGCAAGCCCCTGCTGAGAGCACAGCACAAGCTTCAAACCAGAAAGGAGAGTGTGCAGCCCAGGGCTAAGGCTGGTGTCCTCCTGGGGAGGCAGGGAACCCCAGCGCCCTGCATTGAGCCCGGCTCACCTCCCAGGGCATGGCAGGACCTCTAGCATGGCCTCACTTCCACAGCATGTTGCTCATGCTGCTTTCAGGGTGCTTGTCGCACCTACAGAACCATGGCAAGCTTTTTGCAAATATTTTCTGTGAGATGCGTTGGTTGTGGTGGGCTTGGAGAAGTTAATCAGAGCACTGGGGATAAAGGGGTTAGACTGATTAACTCTGGAGACAGATCTGCTCCCATGTATTTTGGTAACTCTTTTGTCCTGTCTGCATTGGTGTGTAAAGCCTGGATTTACAAACTGCCCTCTCATTTTGAGTCTCTGATTTTAGGAGAGATGGACTGTGCTTTCTAAAGGCTGAACCTGTAGTAGCTCTCCTTCACAACCGTGGGAACTGCTCGTGCTGAGCTTGTCTTGAGCTTGTCTGGCTATTTCTGAGCAAGCAGAAGTTAAAATTGCAATTACCAAAAAAAGGAAGCCAAACTTTACCTTCTGACCTGTGATTAACACCTGACTATGTAAGTGGAAAATGGGTTCATGAATATAGTAAGCTTCTTCACCTCCTATCCATGGGCTCCCTTTTCCTTACAGTGGGGTGAATGATGCTTTACTCTCTCTAACAGGCTTTGACTAGTGTGTCTCCAGCCTGAGGAGGGTCTGAAAACTAACAAGTACTGTCAGTGTAGGAAATAGCCAAATATAACGGTATTTCTGCCCCTCTGAAATCAGGAAGGGGCTAATCCTGAAGCAGGACTTGCCAGTCAGTGTGCTGCCCTGCAAGCAGGGTGCAGGTAAGGTGCCCTGACCCGTAGGACCACTGCTTATCATGTGTGTGGAGCCAGTTGGGAACACAAAGTGAGGGGCTTCCAGTTTCTGCAACAGTTCAACGTTAAAACTGCACACACGAAAGAGAGTCCTCTTTCAAGACATCTGCAGTCTTCCCCATACATAAAAAACTTTAAGCCTATGCATGAGAGAGGCAATTTCTTTTCCAAGCATATCACCCAGGGAGGCTGGATGCAGAGCTTTCACTGTCCCCATGAACAATGACCATTTAAATGACTTGAAGGGGAATAGATGGTTAAAACCTAAATTAAGTTTCTGTATAAGCAAATGGAGTTCACTGCCAAATGGTGTATCACACTGCAGTTCTGAATTTACTCCTAAGCATTAATTTGCTTCTAATTCTGTAACTTGGTTAGAGTTGTGTTGGCATTGTATTGTTGTATGCTTGCTAATGAGGTAACGGGGCTAATGCAAGCAGAGGACTCCTATACAGATGCTGGCAGCATCCCAGAGAAGGTACTTTTAGACTCATTGGAGAAGTGCCAGACATCATGGAAGATATATTTATACTAATGATGCGTTATCATCAGTGAAAGCCAGGACAGCCAAAGTGTTTTTGGTGTAGGCAGGTCTATATTAATTTTTTGTAGCTGTAAAGCAAAATCATCTCCTGGGAAGGGAACAAGGGATCTCACTAATAGGGAGCTACTGCTTTTATAATTGAGAATATTAGGGACTTCAGATAGCATAGCTTTGCCCGTTGGAAATCAGATCTCCTCCCCCCCCCCCCCCCCCCCCCCTCCTTTCCTCCTGGACTTGGTGATGTAAGTCTGGTCCTTCAGGCTGGATGTTGCAGTTTGTCTATGGATGCCCTGAGAATAACAACATCAGAAGTTCCCAATTCCTCCTTGGAGGAGGACAGAGGGCAGATACACTCGTCCAGGACAGATGATGCTCCCTGACATGGGTGCTTATATGTTTGGGGTCAGTGCATTAGGGGATGCTGAGTGTTCCCTGACTGTGGTACTGTCACAGGAAGCCTGTCTTGCTAACACAAACTGTGGTGTAACTCCACTACAGACACCTGTGTGAATGGAGAATCGAGCCTGGTGCATACATGTGAGTGTAGAATAAATGTGAATACGACCAAAACCAGGACAAACACCCTTTATACCTCATCCATGTTGTCCAGTCCTACCCCAAATTCAAACTGGATTGCATGTCACAAACATGAGCTGCTTTGTCTTTATTTCATTGTTTTCAGTCCTCTTACAACTACAAATTTAGCATTACTGCTCAAGAAAAGAAAGAGCAAACTACAACCATTCACGGGATAACAATTTTAAACTCTGTGAGACAGCTGATACTATTAAAAAACATGGCCTTATTATAGGCTTTCATTATTGATGGCTACTTGAGGAGACATACACTATAAAATATAAAGATAAAAAGCAAAAGGCTATTTAGATAGATGTCAGCTGAATGTTGCTAGCATCAAATCAGTGGCACTGAAGAAAATGAGAACAGACATACGGCACAGCCTCTGGACTAAATGTGTGCACATTATGGATCTGCTAAGGCTTTGCCTTTACAATGTACACTTTAAATCAAAGCAACATTGAAGTCAATATTGATTGTTCTTGGAGATATATTTTACCTTCAGGCACTGCTGTTTCCCAAAGGAGCGTGAGCAAGAACGTATGTCTCTGTGCAGTGCTGACTGCTTGTGGACAGGGATCTCCCTGAAATCCTCTGAAACCGGTTCCTCCTTTGGAAGTACCCACTGCTGCTGCTAAGGGACCGCTGTCTGTTCTTCAGGTACTCCCTGTAGTTTTTGGTGAGCAGGGTATAGAGGAAGGGGTTGATACAGCTGTTGCTGTAGGTCAGACAAGTTGTTAGGTAATTAATGTTCTTCATCACCTTGGGAGATAAAGGGAAGGATTCATAATACTGGAAGAGAAGCTGCCATATCCAGAAAGGTAAGAAGCAAGCCCAGAACACCAGCACTATTGTGAAGATTAAATAGAGCACCTTCTGATTTGGGAGCCGCTTGGTCTGCTTGAAGGATGCTGTTTGTGACACCCAGTAAATCTTAGCTAATCGGATGTAAAGGTAGCCAATGATTACCCCTGGACCCACAATGCTGGTACCAAAAAGGATGGTGAGATAGACTTTGTAGGACAGCTTGCTCCAAGTAGGCAGGCAGATGCTTTTGTTGTCCCGTTGCACCAGCTGGATCATGATGAGCATTGGGAGAGTGAGCAACAGTGACACCAGCCAGATAACAACAGCAATGGCCTTTCGGTAACTCTTGGACCTCTTCACTGTGTCCAGGGGCTTCAGCACAGCAAAGTAGCGCTCTGTACTCATGACCGTGAGGGTGAAGATGCTGGCGTGCATAGTGAGGAAGTCCAGACTGAACAGGACGCGACAGCCAATGTCCCCAAAGTACCATTTCTGAATGAAGTAGGTCCCGACAATGAAGGGGATGGTGAGAAGGTAGAGCAGGTCTGCCAGCGCAAGGTTGATGATGTAAATATACATGGAAGCAGATGATCGCAAGTAATGGCACATCACTAGCAAGGTGTAGACATTGCCTGTCACCCCAATGACACACATGAGGGAGAGGATTGTCCCAATGGTGCAGATAGCGATCATGTCCTCCACGGAACCGGTGGCTGATGTGCCGTCCCCGGTGGCATTGGCGGAGGCGTTGGGTCTGATTCTGAACAGGCTGCCCTCGCTTGTGTCTGTCACCATGTAGGGGGTTGCAGAAAAGTGGCTCTCCAGCTCGTCAGTTAGGGACATCCTCCCACGTTTAAATGCCAGAGGCTTTGTTCATGCCACAGGGGTCTGAAGAGCTGTTCTTTCTGCTCTGAGAAATGCAACTGCTGGGAGATGGTGAACCATTTCTTAGTGGGGTCTCATCCGAGGAAGATCTGCATTCTCCACTAGAGGAAAGACATCAGAAACCAACATATTAGAAATCTGCTAGAGCAACACAAATTATCATTTAGAAGTTACCTGCCCCTAAGTATGTATCTGCGCTGTCTGCACGTACCAAAGGTCTTGTGCACTGAGGCCACTCGTGTGAGGTTCATGCTATCATTACAAGAGCACAGCTTTGAGGAGTGACATGTCGTAGTGCATCCATGGTAACGAGACAAGAGAGATTGTGTGGATCATTGGAACCGTGTGCTGCAATCCTTAAAGTTAGTATGAAGTTGGAGGAAGAAAGTGTCCTTCCTAAATTCATGAAGGACACTTACAGACCTAGCAGCATGATTGGTTAAACCTCTTTGCTAAGCTCTTAACTCTGAAGACATTAAAAAAACCCAAAAAGGGAAAACAAAATTTGGATTTACCATTTGCAGCTGATTTGTCTATTCTATGTGATACACTCAAAGTCCTGTCTAGCATTTCTGCAGTGTTTTCACAGAGCAACTTCCCTTGGATGAGAAGCTCCTGCTATGTTCTGACTTGCAGTTTCAAATTGTATTTGAGTGAGGGAGAAAAAAGGCATTTTATATCTATAAAGCAAGGTGTAGGTTTTACTGTGGGTTTTATGTGTCTGTAAACCCAGGTTTTTTTATGCTCTCTGTCAAGTGTGATCCCACAGATTTTCATGTGTCCATGCATAGATATATTTCAGACAGACCTGTCTGTGAGCCTGTCTAAACAGCCTTATGCAGTGAGGTGTGAGATTGCTCTGCAGCATGTTAGACAGGTAGTCACTCTTTGTACATGGGAGCTTTTGGTTAGCTCAAGCTCAACGCTATACAAATCATGACTGTGTTGCTTTGAATTTATACTGGCTCTAGGTGTAGGCAAAGGGAGTTCAAACCTACCTGAGAGAAACACTGAAGAAGCAGCTAAAATGCTGAAATTTTAAGCCATACCAAAAGCCTGTGCCAACCTAAAGGTCACGGCACACAGAAGTGTGTTTGCACTATGAATTTTATGGAGCTCAGATTGTCTCTTTGTTTGGAAAACGCTGTGAGAAGAGGTGCTGGACCGCCTTGTCCTTGCAGGGCTCAGCAGGCAAAGACTTCCCTCTGCCTCGTTCCACTGGACAGGTTGGGTTTGTTTTATCCTGGGAATCTGCAGCTTTTCCCAGTGAGTTCAGTGTCCCTTTGTCTCCACACCAGCTCTGACTCCTTTGCCTCTTTCCTCCCACTAGCTCCTTGGCAGCAGGATTACAGCACCAGGCTCTCCTCCACTGCCCTTGTGTCAAAGACCCTGCCAGTGACTTCTGTAGCACTTCAGGATGAACAATGTTCATCCTCTTCATGACTTGCCCTCACCTTCTCTTCTTCCCGTTACCACCTTCTGCGGGTGATGGGTGCTGCGGAGATATCATGCAAAAACTCTGTATAAAAGAGGGCAATCCAGTATAGAGGAAGATTCTTCCTCATTTAACAATTGGGATAGAGGTGCAAAAAAAAGAGAAAAAACACAGTATGCAGAGCCCATCTCCCGCCCAAGTCCCTTGGGTAGAGACATCCGAGGGGGAGAAGTGAAGCATGGTTCTGCAGTGCTCCTTCAGGACATTGCTCCTCTGGACTGGTCTCCAGAAGCTTCATCAGCATCTTGGCTTTCCTGGACCTTGCAAACCCAAGTCTGCCTCCTCCCTCCCCTGCCATGCTGTGCGATCCCCTCCTGCTTGGCTTTGGGCATGTGTAGCCTGCCTGTCCATGCACCGACTTGCTCCCTCATCATCCACTTTGTTGATGTTCATGTACGAGCTGTGCCGGCAGCAAAAGCGTCATGCATGAAGGAGACATGGATGCTCAGGGAGGTCTGCCTGCTCCTCTGCCACACTATCGCCGGCACACTTGGTTGGAAACGAATGGCTCTGCATGGGATGCTCCAGCTAAGCCTGGAGCTGGTCACACATGCAACTATCAAGCTCAGTTGGATTTGTGATCGCTCATTTTCAGGAGCATGTTTCCATGGCTCAGGTGCTGTCTTCTTGCAGCTGCCTCACTTTGTGTTCTGGGCACTTGTAGCAGCAGATCCGTGCTGTGCCCGTGCAAGTCTGTGCGGTTCCCTGGTGTGACAGCTCCTGCCAGAGAGAGCTCAACACACCGCATCTCCCCGCTCTGCTCCTCTTCCACTGAACCTGCGTTTTGCTTCATTCATAAAATTACTACAGCACTAATTCAATTCAGACACTTCACCTGTCTCCAGACAGAGCCCACAGCTAGGCAAGTTCTCACTCCTAGAGAAGTAAAATTAAGCAAACTGGGGAAACCTTGCATAATTTTAAAGTTACTGTCATTGCTGCACTCGTACATAAATGCACACACTCACACACATGCACACACACACAATAGAGAGCTTGTTATTCCAAGCAGCCATTCAAGTATCTTACGATCTAAGCAATTTTCTGAGCCAATCCTGCCTTCCCCTCTACATTATCATCATACAGGAGTACCATGCACATTCAGTAGCTGCAAACATAAATGAATTTCTCCTGCTCAAACCTTGCCTTTAAATCCAGCAGATGAAGTTTCCTACAAGAAATAAAATATAAATGAATCTAGTAGTATTAAAGCTGAAACTTTTAAAAGGAAAAAAAGGGGAAAAAAGAAAAAAGAGAATCCTCCTTCACGGGCAGACAGCGAGAGATCCCCGTGCTCCGTTGCATCTGGAAAGGCAGCGGCAGGAAGGCAGCGTGCTACCTAGCCAAGTATGTTTGAAATCTGTGCGCTGTTAATACTCTCATTCTCTTCCCTTCACTCATGCCTGCTATTTCTGTTACTCGGTGACGTTAGGCATAGCGTGGTTTTGACTGCAGCCAGTGAAGAGCCTTTTTAAAGAAGCAGCATTTTGATAGCTGTGGCTTGTTTAGCTGGCTCCCCCCTGCCTGGCCGTGAGCCAGCTGGGGATGCGAGATGTCAAGGCTGTTTGCATCCCAGGACCGGTGATACAAAAAGCCATCCTGCCCCTCCTTACATCGCACTGAAGAGCGCAAATGCCTAACGTTGCCTGAGCAAAACCATTGTGTCGTGGAGAGCAGTCAGGCCAGGGAGGGTTAAATTCCTGCGGGAGGGTCGGCTGCCCAGGGAAACGGCAGAGCTCCTCGATTCAGAGATCAATGCCAAAGTGAAGCCAAAGTTTATTTGGGTTGGATGGCATATTAACAGAAGAATCTGTGCGGTGGTATCACGCACCACAGCATCTGAGACATTTCAGACTGGCGGTAACAAAATGTTATCCAGGTTGTTTGGGGTTCAGCTGGTTGCCTTTCCCCAGCGATACTCAAGGAGGGTAAAGACAGAGCGAGATCAACCAGGCGCCTAGAAAAAAACGCAGTGTGAGGAAGGGGCTGGTGCTGAGAAATGCCAAAGCTAAACTCAGTATTATTTTGATAGCAGCTGAATATTGTGTTGGTTGCTTGCACATGACAGGGTTGCTCTTCCTCCGAGTTCCCTGCTTTAGCTCTGTGGACTACAGGGAATTGCTTCTGATTTATGCCAGTAGGAAGCGAGAAGCACCCATCTCTCCTGGGGTGTCTCCTGCTGGACATGGGTGTGTGGGAGATGCCTGTCAGGCCCATTGCTTGCTTCAGCGGTTTGCATTTGGGCAACCACTGCAATTAGGTGATGCTTCCCAGCTTCCCGGCTCATCCATCCTGCATCGCTGGTATTAATCAAGAGCTGTTTCCTCCTCTAACTCCTTCCCTGGATACTTACGTAGTTTCTTCTTTGTTCTCAACTTTTACGTTCTGCTATCTAGGTGCTTTCAGATGCATCTTGTATCTAATCCTGCTGTGTGAACCCAGTTTTGCTTGAGCCACATGGGGTGACTGTAATAGCGCGTGGAAAGATTGGTGAGCACCAGCTGTGGCTGTCCCTGTAACAGGGCAGTGGGTGTGCAAAGCAAGGGCCCCCTGAGATATGTGCTTTTGAGTGTGGTGAGGACTCGGGTTAGGAGCAAATCCTCATGTGGAGGCTTAATTTTGCAATGAAGATAGACTTTATCTTAGCAGCTCTAACAAGGGCTGGCTGAGCTCTAAAACCCCAACCCAAGCACCCTCAAATATATGTATTTTGCTCTAAAGATTGCTCTAAATCTGCGTTTTGTGGCTGGCCCCTAGACATCTTTGGAAAAGTGTGTTCTGGAAGCTGTTTCTCCTGCTGCTCTCTGGGTGAGATGGAGGTGCCCGTTGACTGTGTGACTCCAGCGAGTGCCAGTGGTCCCCTGGTGAGCACTGATGGTGAAGCTGTTGGCAAAGTGCTGTATTTGTGGGTGGCCCACAGGGAGCAAGAATGTCATTCATGTGGCAGTCTCCACATACAGAGCAGGGACAACCCGCTGGTATCCTTGAATCCGCTTGCTACTCTCTGCATGCAACTCAAAGGGCACATTGGCACAAGCCCTGTGCGAATGCAGTGATGCTGACTGGGGACGTGGGTGCTTCTGCTGGGCATGGCTCGGCCGTGGTGTTTCAATCTCCAGCATTTGGTAGGTGTGTGCAGGTCTCTCTCCAGGCATCTATGCTGGAACTGTCACACTCCTGTCACTCCTCTGTCACCAAGGTGCTAGTTGGGTTGGTATTGACCCATGCCAGGGAAAGGAAGGGGGAATGGGATGGGGGATAGTTTCTGGCCAATCCGTCAGTTTCCTGGACCTTTTAATCCCAACCTGGTACTTCCTTTTTTTAGTGTTTAAACCTTTTGAAAAACGTTATACCAGTGTGTTTGTTTATCAGGAAATCTCAGTGCCCGTGGGGCTGCCATTAGGGGAATCTGGTCTCCCATACAGTCTGTGTACTGCTGGAGTCGTTAGAGGAGGTGTCTGG